AGGATTATCTCAAAATCTATTTTTATATCTAATTATAAAATTTTAAATTTAAAAAAAGGTTAAAATTGAATAGATCTATAAACATATGAAAATCTTGAAAGTGGACGTTGTAGATAATATATTGTAAAATGCACTATGTCTGAGACTTAAAATCTTTTTATTTTTCATCATATATCTCGATGTCAAGAAAGGTTTCTATGCTTCCCCTATAACATAGAAGTTCTATCCTTCCCCTACCATCCAGGTGTCCAATTTTGATCAAGAGAGCCACTCACCATTTGATCTTAGATCCGACGTCTCAAAGTATTTTATTTTTAGTTTTTTTAATACAAATTTTATGAATATGAAATTTTGTATGTGGAATCTTCTCATTGGGGCGCACCAATAAAAAATATTAAAAATAAATTTTCAATAAAATATAATGACCAAAATACCCCTTGAAACTTTCAAAGGTATTTTGGTCATTTTATCGAAAATATTTTTTTTTATATTTTCCGCTAGTGCGAGTTTAATAGAGGTATGGATGTACAAAATTTGGAGTCAAAATAGTTTATAGAAAAAAAATAAAAATAAAATAGTGTAGAGATATGACATTGTGATTGGGGCAATCTTAGCCCTCCATTCAGAATGAACAGTTGGATAAAGGGGAAGATAGAACTTCTGTTCTGTAGGAGAAGCATAAAAAGCTCGCCCCTCGATGTCAAGATGATCAATCAAAAGGTTTTTCAACATTAAAACTACTTTTTCCGATGGATTTTTGAGGGGCATCCGTAGTTCTACGTTATAAGGTAGCATCCTTATATAAACTTTTTCCTTCTTTAAAGACTTAAATTTCAATCTAAGAGGGGCCGGCAATTGTCTAAAAACAACAAGTAGGATTTTGCATGTGACCCCAAAGTTTAGATACTTCCTCGTTTTTATTTTGGGAAACTTTTATATGTGGCGACACTTACCTATAAAATATGGGGCAATGATTTAATGCATTGGTTGTATCACACAACCACATTTCCAAAAAATCATGTTTGTGATATTTGTATGACTCAAAATTTTGCACACACACTCTCTTTATCTCAATAATCAATATAAAAAAAATAAAAATTGCCTCCGATATATGATCAAAATGAGTCCCCTCCGACAATAAATTTAGATCGTCCATGTGATGAATTTCAAGATCTAGGCCTTTATAAATTCAAAATCATTTTTTTATTTTTTTAATATTATTAATCTAATGATAATAATATTATCTAAAAAATATGAAAAAAATAAAGATCTAGGCCTTTATAAATTCAAAATCATTTTTTTATTTTTTTAATATTATTAATCTAATGATAATAATATTATCTAAAAAATATGAAACAAATAATATCATTCTAAGGCTTAGATCTAAACATCTGACCAAAATCAAAAGCCTATATTAATTGGGTTAAAAAAATACTTTGTAGATTACGTTTTCAAATTGTTCTTTTTTGTGATTGTTCATTAGAAAAAAAAATATATTTTAAAATCTGAATTAAACAAATATTTCTAATATAGTTTTTGAAGGTTGATGCATTACATTACTACCCTAAAATATATCTTACTACTCTTTTTAGTTGCTTTATCTAAATGGAATGTTGCAATAGCTTTAGTCACAATGTCATACCAAATATTGGTTTATTACAAATTATTTTTTCGACAAACCATATTGAAATAAAATATGGGGAGTGCTTCCTCCATGGGTGTGCCTAAAATAGTAAAAAAGAATTTGATAAAATAAAAATAAGCAAAAAGTCCATGCAAGTTATGGGGTATTTTGCGTATTTTTATTAGGTGCTCCCCTCTTTAAGTGCATATTGGATCTATATGAATCATGAACGTCCTAAAGACAACATCAAATAAGTGCCACTGACTTGACCCATCACGTGTGGCTGTCGACTCGGACCCATCCGAGTTACTCAAAACCGCATACTGGACGTATTTGTTTAAGTCTACCGGACCCATCCGAGTTACTCAAAAGCTTGGGATCTTTAAAAAATTCAAAAAATTATTAAAAATTTTAAAAATAAAAAATTTATTTGTAATGTGTTTTTCAAAATCTAAAATCCAAATTTTATTTGTAACGTGTTTTTCAAAATTCAAGATTTATTTATAATGTGTTTTTCATAATCTAAAAAAATAAGAAATTGATTAACCTCATTTATATGTGTTTTGTTTAATATTTCTTTAAACAGATTTTCCATATTTTTGGAATTTATTTTTAAAAATTTTTGACATGACCCGTTCTTGCCTGACTCAAGCTGGATACCCAGACCCAGTCTGGGTTACTTGGCCCAGCCCAAAGCAGGATACTGTGCCCGAGACGTGGTTTCCTGCATTGTATCACACTCCTTCAACAGCCCAACAATATGAGGTAGGGAAGGTAATGAGAATGGATTCTAGTGACCTACCATCTACAAAACAAAACAATTATTTCAAGATTGAGTTAGAACCAATGTTAAAAAAAGCGACTCGGTCAAGGTATTCGGACCCTGGCTGAGGGGAGTCACTTGGCTGAATCCGAGTAACTCGGGTAAGTACAACTCACTTTTGGGGACTCTCCTCGTACAAAAAAAAAAAAAAAAGCTTTCAAGAAGTGATGGCACCCATAAAGGACCCTTCTATTTTTTCTTATCATTTTTAGTTTTTATTTATGTAAACCCTTTAACTATGTTTTATAAGATGTCCACCTTAAACAATCAATGTATCAAAGTAACTTGCACCTCCAAACTTTGTTCAGAGATGCAATATTGGCACCAAAAATTTCTATGATGTTCTGGAAAGGTATTTTTACGCCTAATTGTAACATTTAAAGTTACAAAACGGTACAAACCTCTATATACACTTAGAAATCTTGAAAAACAGGAGGTCCAAATAATATGTTACAGGATGCATAAGACTTAAAATCTTTTTTTTGTATCATACACCTCAAGGTCGAGATAATCATACACCATCAAAGTGACATTTTTGGTGGTTTTTTGAGGTCGATGTACCTCTACAGTGTAAGGTTAAACCTTATCTAAACTTTTTTCTTTATGGAGTGATTATCTTATGGGTGCAATTGGCATATGGATGCATTCGAAGCTGTAGAGGTAAGTTGCACCTTCAAATTTGCTCATGGTATATAATTTTGATATAAAATGTTCTTAGAATTACCTGAAAATATATTTTTATATCTAATTATAAAATTTTAAATTTTAAAAATGATTAAAATCAAGTAGATCTATAAACATATGGAAATCTTGAAAATGGACGGTGTAGATAATATGTTGTAAAATGCACTATTTTTAAGACTTAAATTTTTTTTATTTTTCATGATCATACATTTCGATGTTGAGATGATCAATGAAAGGGTTTTTTAACATTAAAAGTTTTCCGATGGATTTTTGAGGTGCATCCGTAGTTCTTCCTTGTATAAACTTTTTCCTTATCTTATATACATGGAGGGTGAAGCCCAAGCGACAAACAAAGTTACATATCATCAATCAGGTGCAACCAAAGACCTCCTTATATCAAGGATATATATGGCATGAACATTTATAATATAAAGCATGGCGCACCTCAAAAATATATTGGAAAAAGGTTATTCTGAGGCTGAAAAGCCTTCTAATTGATCATCTTAAACTCAAGATATATGTATAAAAAGAAAAAAAAGCAAAAATTCTAGCCCCTAAAAAAGAGTGCGTCTTTTAACACATCATCTAGACGTTCTAGCCATTGTAGGGGTTTTCGGCACACGAAATGCACTTCTAGCCTGCAGGGGTCCGCTTTAATCTGATTGTTTTAGGTTGACACCTTATATAAACTCACCCCATATAAATCCCATTATTGATATATATAGACCTCACTCATATAGACCCCATTATTAATATGAGACACATTTCTGCCTTTGTGCTTCGACTTAAATAGATGTATCATTTGATTTGATTGAAGAAGGTCATGGGTTCAAATCCTAGAACTTTGTTTCAAAAAAATCCCAAACAAGATTACCCAGCCTTAATTCTTTTAAATGAGAAACATTTTGAAACATGTGACCATGGCCGATGCCAATGCCCATGCCAATTATTTACACAAAAAAGAGCATGTATATGGTGTACACATCCTCCTTTAGTATTATACTCTATCTATTTTGCACCAATTTACGAGCCTCTTAGTGGAAGCTGGGAATCATGCATGAAATCCTTTTCTTGCAAAACTTTCGACTTGACTTGTGTCTAGATCTTCGTCTAAACTGTTTGCCCTGATAAACCTGAAGAGAAAGCACCTTAAAATCATGATAACACAATAAATTTGAAATAAGAAACCAATAAGAAAGGAACATAGGCTGACAATGGGCCGGTTGGCAGTTTGCCCAGTCGGCATGATCCTAAAAAACTAGGGTCTGAGCCACAAAATGTGGCTACAGAGCCAAGCCCTGAGACAAGGACAAGGCGGGGCTTGGACTAGGGATGCAACAGGGTGGACCCAGTTCGGTCGTTTCTTTCCTTATTTTTCTCTGTTTACTTTTATTGTATTTAGCCCAGCCTTGAGACCTAGACCAAGGTTGGGCTCAGGCCGGTCCTATGGGGGGTTAGGGTCAGGCTAAGCCAAGGATGGTCCATTGCCACTCTTATATAGCGAGAATCTTACCTTTCAAAGAGCATCCTACACATTGATTGGCAACCACTATTAATTGAAGATTGCATGTTTATGGCAATATTAGGGTTGTGAACGCTTTGACGAATGTGCACCCATCCGTATTGTCCATTCTCTTCATCCCAAACTTTGGCCCTGTAATAGTAACAAATCGTCGTTCTTGGCAATTTCATGGTGGTTTTAAAATTATTGTGTTTAATCCTGAAAATATTAGTGAATTTTGATGAAAATGTCTAATGCTGCAGATATTTTAAACAAATTCAACATAAAAAATTCTTAAGAAATTTTCAAAATGCATTGAAAATAAATCTTGAGAAATTAAAATGGCCATCTATATGTCAAAAAAGGTCCAAAGTATATAGAGAATGTTCGGTTGCACCATTGTCACTGAAAATTTACTCTTTCAATAAAATTAATCTTACTAATGAATTATATACTGTTTTACATTGTCCATTATGCAGTTGTTTGAGATAAACCTATAGGTAGTTTTATACATAATTTTATCTTTTGAAAAAAATTTGTTTAAAGCAATTGGTTGAAACGCACTCGTTTTTAGCTAGAAATAGCTTTTAATAGATGGAAATGCCAAAAAAATAAGAAATTAAATAATATTGTACCATTTAATAATATAATATTATCTATAGTATATTTATTGCATGTAAGATAATATAAGAAAATTAATTGTCATACAAACAAGTACAATTTAAGATGATATTACTGGTTATCTCAAAATCAGGTGCTAGTATCATGATTTGGATAAAAAGAAGAATGGGTTTCTATGAGTCAGCCGACTCATACTATATATATGCGGGCCCCCTCTTAAACCATCTTAGAAATGGATTTTTAATCTAAAATTGTAAGGATTCATGATCTAAGTTAAGATGATCATGAACATAAATAAAAAATAAAAAATAAAATGTTTGATATTTAAAATGTGATTTTTTGAAAAACATTTTACACGGTATAAACATGGCGAGCGTTTTACAACGGACTCTTACACCCGCCCACTCATGAATGATTTTTCCTAAAAAGAGCACTTTATTTCTTTTTTTTCTAAAAATCCCATGATAATATCACGCGTTTGAAAAAAGGAAGAATATCCATTTATTTTCTCTAAAAATCACTGGCTAATATCAAGCGTTTGGAGAAAAATGAAGATATTTCCTAATAGTGCGTTTCTTTATTTCTTTCTCTGTTTTTTTTGAATGCTAAGGTACGATTTCCAGTAACAAACATATAATTATGAGAAAATGATGCATTACTCAAAAATAAAAAGATAGGTGTGTTTACCTATACATATGAGCATCAATGGCCGTTGGCTCATCATTTGTGTCCACAAGGCAACCCTCACTGACCCAACAATCACCGCAGGAATCCAATTCCCATCCTTCAAGTCGCCCTTCCTATTAACATTATTCCCAAATAATTTTGTGACTCCAAGTAGATAGAGAAAAGCTAGTTATAATATCATTAACAAAATAAAGTTCATGACAAATGAAATGTCCGAGCATTTAAGATTTTAAACACGTAAGATTTCATTTTTGATAAGATAGAGATTGTTGTTGCAGATATTTTCCATATGTTGATAGTAAAAAGCAATGTTTTAAAGCTAACAGATTTCCGATCCGGATTGTCGATCTAGATAGGAATTATTTAGGACCGAACTGATTCCACGATGGTATCGTTTAGGCCCTGTTCCCACCGAAACCCGCCCCGAAATAATTGAGAGAAGATTAAGATGATAATAATGGACATTGAAGAGAAAAAAGAAAAAGAGATGAAGAATTAGAGAGGGTATCCTTCTTTACCTCTATGAATCTCCTCAATGCCTCAATTGTTTGGGCTCCCCTCTCTTTAGCCTGTTGGGGATGGGTCAATATGTTCATGCGTAGCTCGACAGACTCTGTGGGTTCCTCCAATTCTTGAATAAGACTTCCAATCCCTTCATTGGAGCCTGCCAGCCTCATTCTGACCATTTCTATTATGATCTTCACCACCATATAGGCACCTAAAAAATGCACCAATGAAAACTAGTAATATTAAATCGAGATGGTATATTATGAGATCATTTATTTTTTATACAAGGAGCTCACAATTGGTACTACCCATTAGATATTAAATTGGATGGCTTTGAGTGTGTCACAAAGTTTGAGAATTTTTTTTTTGAACTTGGAGTCTAGGGATTGACAAAAATGATTGTGACTTTCTTGTATTAAAAGTAAATGGTCTCTTTGTATATTTTTCTATTAAATCATGATAAAAAACAATAAGACCAACTTTACATGGGCTATAGAGAACATTGGCTAATTTATAAAAACTTAAATAATGGTATCTCTAAAGTTTCTTATTTATCTATGGAAAGGTATATAATGAAAACATTTCCTTTTGATACAAGGATTTCACAATAATCATTGACAGTAAGATTTGAAATCGTGTGGTTGAGGATGTGTCAATGTTTACACACAAAGTCCACAACAAAATTTCTCGAATGCTGTGAAATACTTTACTCTATTGAATTTCACATCTAATTGCTAAAAAGTGATTGTAACTTCCTTGTACAAACAATAAATAGTTTCATAACATAGGGAACAAGAGAGTAGGACAAAGTACACAGCTCCATTGCTCTCTCTCTCTCTCTTCAAGTTAGGCCAAGCCAAAAAAATGAAAGATTAAACAAGCAATCAAGTTGAAAGAAAAAAAAAAAAGAGGTTGAAAACAAGAAGCAAGAAAGAAAATAAAATTGAGAACGTTATTTATTATTTGTTGTCCTTTTTAATTTTTTTTATCCATGTTTATGATAGAGGTCCCTCTCTATGGGGACCCCTTTTTTAAGAAAAATACTATGATATTTATTTTTTGAGCTTTATTCTTGTTCTAGGATTCAGGCTTGAGATCCAATGGTTCGTAGTTGATGATTGTAAGACTACATCTCAAATCCCATTCCTTTTGTAGAACCATATAAAAAATGCTTGTTCTTCTCTAACTTTACATTGTTTCTAGTGTTTTCGTTCTCTTTTCTTCGATTAAAAGCATTAGGAAAAATCTCAAAATATCTAGTGAGAAAAAATACACACAAGCACAATTCACGTAAATTTTAAAACTATATTGTTTTGTGAAAAATCTACAACAATATTTCGAGATTTATAAAGAAAAAAAGCAAATATTTGTCATGAACGAGGAGGAAAAAAGGTACCATCGTCGAGGAAACGGTTCTCCTTGAGTGCACCATGGCCAGTGGTCTCCATCATGAGATGCGTCTCCACGCCCGCTCTGTTGAGCTGCACCCCCTTGTCGATGACATTCCGGTAGCCGACACGATACAAGCAATGGTTGCCGCCCCTACTTGTTATGAACCGGGTCAGGGCAATGCTGGTTCGCGCGTCTGTCACTATAGTGGAGTCAGGATGTTGAGAAAGCACAATGGTCGACATGAGAGCGATGAGTCGGTCGCCGTTAATGGGGTTCCCCTTCTCATCAACCACGCCGCTCCGGTCCACATCTGTGTCGAAGACGATGCCGAGGTGGGCATGGTGCCTGAGCACTGAAGCCTTTGTTGTGGCCATGGCTACCTTGTCTTCAGGATTAGGAATGTGGTTAGGGAACATGCCATCTGGATCGAGGTTTAGGCTGCCTCCTGTGTCTGCTCCTAGTTTATCAAGGACCTCTCGGGCAAAGAAGCCCCCTGAACCATTCCCAGCGTTCACCACTATCTGCAACATAGAATCCACTGACATGGTCACAAATATTTCTATTGTTTTAAAAATACTTTAAAAATGTTATGGGTTTTGTTTTTTATTTTTTACTGTAGTTTATTTTTGGGTAATAATGAAAAAGAGTGATTTATATAGGGATCGTAAAATTTTAGGTAAAATACAAAATGCTCCACTTGCAAGTGGAAATTATAAAGAAAGTAAGTCAACCCATTTCTTCTTTTTTTTTTTTTTTTTCAAAATTGCCATCGATTAACCCAAATCTTGATTTTTTTTTTTTAAAAAAAAAAAATGGGTTGACCGACCTTCTTTATAATTTTCGCATATAACCGGAGCATTTCATATTTTGCCTAAAATTTTAGGATCCATACTTAAATCACTCTTAATGAAATGCCAACCTCTTTTTTAAGAAAACCAAATGCCAAGCATTTTTTTTAGAAAACCAATAACTTTTATTCATGGTCAAAAGGCCCAAAACACTTTTCAATCTTTGCCAAAATGATAAAAAACACATTAAAAAAATCTCTTATTTTTTGAAATTTTATTTATTTTTTTGATTTTTTTTTAAATACCTAGCGGGACCACCAAAACCGCCCAAAACAAAATCGGCCGATACCCGGTTTCAATTTGACGGGCTGGTACCAAGTTGGACCGGCCGAGTTTGCAAACAATGGTTGAGAGAGAGAGACCTTGAACCCTAAGAGCGGAGTATCATAGTGGAGGGGATGGTTCACCCTCTCCTTGATAATGTTGCGAAGGTGCTCTGCATACACCCTCATGAAATCCACACTGCTCACCCTCACCCCAACCGTGCTAATTGCCCTTGGCTTCTCATTGCTACAGTAAATGGCAGCAGCCTTATCACATATCTCCTCCACGTCTTTGGAATTCAATCCACCATCAGCTGTGAAGAACTTCAGCCCATTCCTTGTGAAAGGTAAGTGAGAAGCAGTCATCTGTAATATTTCCCAACAAAATTTTGTTAAGAAAACCAGAACTTAGGGAGATAATATGGAGTATGAACAACATAAGTATTGTAATCAGGATTTAATGTTCTTGCGGTGTTGTTTTAAGCTTTGGTTAAAAAAAGCCAAGAAAAAATCAATTGGATTATTCTTAACATTAATATAAGGGTGGCAATGGGCTGGACGGCCTGGCCCGGCCTTAAACATGGCCTGGGCCACTAAATTTGTCCAGAGGATAATCTTGTGCTTAAATCCAGCCAAGTGGCTGGGGTGGGCTGAGCCTGCACTAGGGAACATGGCTGGTTTCGGCCTTTTATTTAATGAATTTTTTAAAAATGGTTGCTTTATTCTGGGTTTGGCTCAGCCCGACCCATTAATAGGGCCCAGCAAGGCTACTTAGGTCATGAGCAAGGCTGGGCCTCAAGGGTGCCAAGCCGTGCTCTAACAAGCCCTCAAGGGTGCCAAGCCGTGCTCTAGCAAGCCTTGGTCTTGCTCAAGCTCGGTGTATTGCCGCTCTTTCATTTACACCTAATAATGCCTTTAGGGAAAATACATTGTGCTCATTAGGGAGCATAGTGAAATTTAGTTCCCACTAGTGAGCATCCGTGACAAATCCAACATGAGTTGACTGTGGAGGAAGAACCATGAGGTAATCGTGTAACCGCAAGATTTAATGAAGTATGCTCCCTAGTAAGCGCAGCATACACTCCCTAAAGTATCATATCAAAAGGTATCAAGTATCATATCAAAAGATATAATTATTATCATCGGAGCTTTTTTTCAATTGTTTGACGTTCGATAATTTCAAAAAATATGTACAGATAAATATAA